TTCCCCTCCCCTGTGGTTGTAAGCCGCCCTGAGTCCCCTCAGGGAAAAGGGCGGCATATAAATCCCAATAAACCTAAAACCTAAACCTAAACCTATAAACAGTATAAATTGAATAACTGCATCGTTCTATTAATATTCAAAGATGCTTAAAGAATAATAAATGAATAAGAGGGTATTAAAAATAGTATGCCATAACTGGGGTCTTAAAGTAAAAACTGGTGTCCAAAACTGAAATTTAATCTTGTTTGAAAACTGAAGAAAAATATAAATGAAAGGTGTAACAGTTATTTGGGAATTTTAAAAAGTAATTAAGGTTTTATGGTTGTATGATAGATTGTGAGTCAATGCAGATTCCTGTTCAGAATCTTCTGAACTTCTTCATAGACTCATACCATGTAACTAGGTGCAGCTCCCACTTTTTAGTTTATTTCCAAAGTGACACAGCATTAGCACTGAGCTGACAGTATTTTATATTTTTATGTATTATATTGTATTTAACTTGTCTATAACACTTATTCATATATTTCCTTTGGCTGGAGAATTACTCATGTTGTCTAGTTTTCAGCATAATAGCTTTAAAGTGCCCTTTTCTTTAAATTTAAAATCAATATTGCAGAAACAAGGTTCTCTCCTTTGATGGGATCAAGCTCTTCAAGGCAAATTCAGCAAAAAAAAGAACCACTTAAATTTCCAGAAATATATTTATTGCTAATATGGAATTATAACAGAACTTGAAAGCCTATCAAAATAGTTCTCCAGCTCAACCTATACCTAGCATAATTAAGACAGAGTGAATTAGTCCTTTCTCACATTTTCCCCTCTCAGGAATCCTTTTAGTAACTGTTAGACTCCTTTTTCCTTGTTCCCAGAGTCTATTAGATATTTTATGAGAGGTGAACATTGTCTTCTCTGATGCACCATCAAAGGACTCAGAAAATTGCCCAGCATGGGCTCAGAGCATCCTAAAATATTTCTGCTACCTAATCCCAAGTAGTGAAAAAGGAACTGAGTATGTTACACACTGTGATTCACTCTAATATCTGCTTCAGAGCCTTGCCATATGTGTTGCTTCAGATTTGGGCAGTTGCAGAAGGTAAATCTACCACTCAGTACTATGTAGTCTTAAGGTTGATTTAGAGTTGCCCATAAATACTTACAGACATCACCACATGCCTATGCTGCAAAAGGGTTGATGGGTAAGCAGATGTTGCAAGATGTTCGAGTGGGCAGGAGACCTTCCTCCTGGACCCTGCCAGCCAGAATAATCAGTCTGACAGGACCTGGAGCATGCCTCCTCTGCTGGCACAAGTAGTATGGGCCAATGGCAGCAGGGTGAGATGGTTCCTCAAGTAACCTGGGCCCCTGCTATGAAGGACTTTAAAGGTGATCACCAACACCTTGAACCACACCTGGAAGCAGTGCACCTGGTAACCAATGCAACTCACAGAGCAGTGGTGTTACGTGGGGCATTTTTGAGGCCACCGAAATTACCCATGCTGCTGCACTCTGTACCTGCTGTAGCTTCTGAATGCTCTTCAAGATGTAGAGCATATTACAATAGTCCAGTCATTTAGCAACTATCCAAAGATATGACAGTGCAGTCCCTCAGACACACGATCATCATTACAGACACTAAGCAGGTACACAATAGGAAATAGATATCTAAAGCAGTATATTTAGTTACAAACTAGTAAGCACAGTCATGGCCAATTTGCTTTGGCACTGATTTTAGGTCCCAGTTGTAGTCGCTAAACAAGGACTACATGTAGTGACCAATTTTTAATTCCAAAATAAATACGTTTTTTACTAATCTGACTTTGTATCGCTCTATGCAGGGAGGGTTTTTCAAGCCTTTCTTTTTTTACATCCATTTTCTTTCTTAAATTTATTCCTCCTGAGCCTTTCATCACCAAAGAATTATTCAACTGGAAGATGCTTTCTCTCTCTAGATGAGTTTTAGCACAGAAGACAAATAGAATCCACTACTATGTAAATTGTACTTCACTCTTTAGGCATAGATTTTGGAGATATCAGGAAATTAAAACATAATGGGGACATGAAAGAAAATTAGGGAGGACAAGTTTAATATGATACTAAGTTCCCAACCTTTCTGTTTTAGTTATTTAAATATTTTATTTATTGACCATCTTGCCTATGTAACTCTGTCCTGTTACGTATTCCACGACAGAGACATATCTGTCTTTTTCTAGGCCTCCTAATTATTAGAACATATAGCTTTACATTATGTTATCCTGATGTTATCTCTGAGGATGAGCTTGGGATCCCTTTTTTCATTTTTCAGTACCTAGTGAGATTCATGATTCCTTTTTTTAATCTTTTCATGTGTAATATGAGGAATATAGCTGGCAAAAAATAGTAAAACTTACCAGATGCCAAACTTTTTTTTTCCAGCTGATTGTTTAGATCCAGTCTGTTCAAATCATGGTGTATGTATCCATGGAGAATGTCACTGTAATCCAGGTTGGGGTGGTAACAACTGTGAAATACTGAAGACACTGTGTCCGGACCAGTGCTCTGGCCATGGCACGTATCTACAAGAAAGTGGCACTTGTAATTGTGATCCTAATTGGACTGGCCCTGATTGCTCTAATGGTAAGAATTTTGGACAAATTATTTTGTGCTAATAATATTAAAAACTTCCAAGATTCTGTAGTGCTGATTTGATTAATTTGTAAATTCCATTAAAGCCTACCATCAATGTAAATATTGGCAAGACTAACAAGAAAATTTTTATTTTCCCTAAACGGTTTCTTGTATCAACAACTATAGTTAACCTATTTACAGTTCACATTAGTTGTTGTTTGTTTGTAATTTACAAACTGAAAATTGCTCGGAGTACAGCTGCCAAAATAGTATTATATCAATGGCCAAACGTTTAAAATATTTAGCTGTTACAGTACTTCTTATATATGCTTAGCATCAATTGAATTGATGTTATAACTGTACATTTAAATGTTTTCATATTAAATTATTATAACATAAGCTACTCTTCTCTCAATGCCACGAACAATATGTACAGGAACTGCATATGAAGAAAATTTGCTAGGTTCTGTTTCATATGATAAAATTGGCAGAAATGCAAACAAAAGCCTACAGAATTCTATATATTTCAAAGACAACTTGAGCTATGTTCAGGCTTTCAGAAAATATATGGGAAGAAGGGAAATATGAATATATGTTTTGAGTCAATGCTTAGTTTCGGGAAGTTCTGCAAGAAAATAGTAAGCACAGAAGGAGCCATATGATCTTGATCCAACTTTCCATGTATATGTTCATCAGTTCCACTCCACATGATCAGCTCATCTTCATTCAGATCTATTATATCCTTTCCCTTTTTTCTTAGTGTCACAGATACATATCTAGTTTCCTTTCATTGATAGTGACTTGTTAGTTTATGCTCTTTAAAGTTTTACACTTATGACATTCCAAGTCAATTTTTTCCATATCCCATAGTCATTATCAGATGGTTTAGTAAGTATTGATCTTGCCATTTGTCATGACTTAGATTTATCAAAGATTTTGCATTTTTTTTAGAAAGATAAAAGGTAGTTTAGGTTATCCATCTTAGTCATATCCATTTCTCATGTTGCATTCCCAATTGACAATAATGACAGTACTTACTTGTTACAATGTATTTTTGCCTCAAATTTAATCAAAGTTTTCATCCCAGACATTCTTAATCTAAAAATTAACTTGTAAACTAGCATACATTTGCTCATATTTCATCAACTAGGAAATTTCAAATAACATAATTCTTAATGTTTTTGAAAAGCTATTTGCAATATTCAATTAATTTAAAAGTAGTTTATTTTTGAAATGAATTGAATGTTGCAAATAATTTTTCAAAAACATTAAGAATTATGTTATTTGAAATTATTTCCATCCAATCAAATGAAGATGTTTCAGTTTAGAAAAATTGTTAACATCCCAAAGGAGAAAAGTATAAGCTGTTTTGTTCCCTTTTCCTTGGTGGTTGTCCATTAATTAGCTCTCCAATTCCAGTTTTTCTAAATTAACCCTAATTAATAAGCTCATTACAAAGACTGGCACACCTTGCTTTAAAGCAGATCTGCTAAAAGCTGATAAACACCTTCTCTTTAATGAAAAATTGATTAGACTGAGGAGAAAAGGCAAGTCTTTGGAAAATGAGGGTATTCTGAAGTTAATCTATCCAAACATCTTATAACAAAAAAAAAATCCAATTCATAACATAAAACATGATAGGAGGAAAGCTTTGCAGGTCAATATTCATTCTGACAGGTATACTGTCAACATACTTAATTGTACATTTGATGTTCTACAGTGCTTTGAAATACATAAAGTAGTCAAGGTGAATGAATCTTTTTCAGTCTTTTATGTTTTTTACACCTCAATATCAATCACAAATAATTTCTTTTTAGGATTGATGTTCTGATTTATAAATAGGAAATTGTTCCAGGAGACTTTAACTGTGTCCTTCGGTTATGTTAGATTGTATTTTTCATGAAAACAAAAGGAAAAAAAAACAAGTATTTTTTTATGTTTTACAGAGTAATATAATTATGTACCCTTTATTGTTGAAGCAGTTAGTTGCATTTTCCTTTTTAAAAGTGAAATTTAAGTTAATCATCCCTGCATAGCCTTCTCTTCTGTCACTTAAGACATAAAACTGTTAGTGCTCAAAAGCAAATTTCCAAATAACAAACATTTATCATACTCAGCATAAAGGTAATTAACGTTGTACAGCTAAGACTTCATTGTTCAAAATGGTTGTATTGATCAGTAATTGTAATAAGGCCTAAAATGGAACTTTAGCATACAAAAATGGCAAGAAAAATCACAACTTATAATTATAATCAAGAGAAAGGTTGCCGTATGGATATACCCTTCGTGCCAATTTCAAATATTCATCACACACACACCCTGAAAAAAAACTTCTTGCCACAATGATACAGTACAGGATGTTATATATTTTTTAATCATAAAGAAGATACATCTCTGAAACATTATTTTGCTACTTGTATATTGCCTATACAAAGCCTTCTTACTTAACATTTTTGAGATTATAAATAACATACATTTATATTAAAAAATGCAACCACTGCTCTTTTTAAAAATAACATGAGGGTCAGAAACCCACCTCATCTTAAGAAAAACGTCTGTGTGGAATTTACCACTGGTAGTATTACTTAACTCTCAAAAGTGCCTGAGTTAACTGAATTTAAGCAAAAGATATGTATGATTTTAAAATCTGATGAATTCACATTGTATAGTATTTAAAGTCAAATATTAACATTGTAGTGTTTTAACTTTTAAGTGTTTTAAAAACATATCTTTGCATTACAATCTCCTGTTTTTCAGAACATGTAACACTATTTACTGAAAATAATCTAAAAAGACTCATAAATTTACACAAGTGTATAATTTCAGAGTACTCCTAAGCAATATGCAATAAAAATGGTCACTTATTGAAAGAATTCTAAGCTAAGTGAAGAAATCAGGAGAGAGATGTTACTAGATCTGCTGAATAAATAATCAAGTGTTAGGAAAGAGATAACACTTGAATCACTTGAAATAAATCGCTTGATTTAATTTTCAAAAAGTTCATATAGCCGGATTTTGGAGCTTAACTAATTACTGTGCTCTTTTTTTTCCTTTTTCCTTCTTCCTTCTCTTTTCATCTGCTACATTCTTTATTCCTATCTCAGAAATCTGCTCTGTAGACTGCGGTGCTCACGGTGTCTGCATGGGTGGAACGTGTCGATGTGAAGAAGGTTGGGCTGGAGCATCTTGCAATCAAAGAGCATGCCATCCTCGGTGTGCTGAACATGGAACCTGTAAAGATGGGAAATGTGAATGCAGCCAAGGCTGGAATGGCGAGCACTGCACAATTGGTATGTTAGCAGAGAATTCTCAGTACTGAACTTAAAAAGTATGAGTCTCTCTGACATTGAATATTGTTTATTGAAGCTTATTTCTTCAACATAATATTTTCCCTTACATCTTTGTAAATAAAAATGTTTTTTTTAAAGAAAAAAGAAAGCAAGTATATAATGTAAATAGCCTTTGGAAATAGCTTGTCCCAGATAGGAAGGGCAAGAATTTCATTTTACATTTACTACATTTTCTGTTTAGATTCAAAAGATAATATTAGAGAACAATTGCTTTTACTGCTTGGATTCTTAAATCTCTAGTTAAACGAGTTTATGTTCATTTTCTTTTTCTAATTTTAGGCAATAATCGAATACCTAATGTTAATGTTAGAAAAGGGAAAGAAAAAATACTATATATAAGGAAACATGAAACTTGGCTGCAAAATAGCCTAGCAGTCTGACATTGTTTTTGTTACATTTTTTTCAGCTAGCATAATGAATTATGTAGGATTTCCACATAGATTTCTATTTCAGTATTGAAAAATTGAAAATGTGCTGCCTTTCACCACTTTCATTTATAGCTTTTTTTAGGGTAGATATCATGTATTTTGCATCCTGATATAAAAGCAAGTTGCCTTTGATTAATAACACAAAATAAAAAGTACTCTTCCCTAGAATTCATTTAATATTACTTTCTAAAAGCCAGTCGTTGCCTAAATAAAACTTTCATCTCTGACCTCAGTCATTAACCATCATATAAAACATCAGTGAAAAAAATACCACAGCGATTCTTCACACTTTCTCCATATGTCTTTCTCTTATAAATCTATGTGACATAGATTATAAATTATCAGTTACCAATCAGACTTTTTTTCTGTTGTCCTCACTGACCTTAGTAGCACGCTGCTGGTTTATAGTTGTTTAATGGATTACCTGCTCTTGTACAATTTTTTCCAATGCCTTTGACAGAATACACTATAGAAGTAGCTTTATGATTTCCATCTATTTATTCCATGTGCTTGTAATTATTGCACTGCTGCTTTTGAAACACAACAAAAGTTTTGGATAATAAAATAATTGTGATAATCTTGTAGATAGCACAGTAGCTTGGCTTGGGCTTCTGTTATTTGCACAATTTACCTAGTATGGCAATCATAGATGACTGGTACATTTCCATTTCTATAAGCCTATAATTCTCAAAATTATATCAAAATCAGCTAGTTAATTGTGGGTTATAAATTCTGCAAAATGCTATTCACACAAAATATATTATCATGTTTTGGATATTTCAGATCCAATTTTATTTTTTTAAATACATGTTTTACGATTTAATATCATCAGTGCACCTGTGCTTCTGTGTATATATTGATAGCAATCACATAAAATAAAGAATTGATAGAAAAGTAAACACAGAATCAATTGGATACAAAATATATCCGCTAAGAAGAAGAACCATTTGGATAAGTATGATAGTACACACAGAGAAAGATTAAACTGCACAGAATAAAACATTAGTAAGACAAAAAATAGTATCTGACTTTTAAAATGTTCAGTAAATCTGCATAAAGTAACCTGGGAATTGTCATATTGTATTTTATTTCTGATAAAACCTGGTAAAATTGGTAATTCTCACCCTAACCCTAAATAAAAACAGATGATATATTTCTGCAATTGGAGACACTTCATAAACCAATTAGTAGAATGCACCAAATATAATGCACGCATCAGTGGAACTTGGGTGTACTGACTATAGGTTCTACAGTAATGGTGGCTGGCAAAGTATGAGATTATAATTCTGTCCAGACTTCAAATGCATCAGTTTACTTTAATAATGTTTAACAGCTAATTCCCAGCTGTTAGCATTTCATTTTCAATTTTTTTAACCGAATGGCTACCAAACATTCCAGGAAGCTTAGCGTAGAATAGATGCATGCTGACTGGCATGTCTGCATTTTTTTTTCCTGAACAAAGCATGTCTTTGTGATCAGTAATGATCTTGCTTTCCAATGCAATAAAGAACTGGAATGAAAACAAATAGCTGCTCTTTTGTAGTTTAAAGGAATTAGGATTTCCCTATGGCCAGATTACCATTTGAATTGCCTGCATATACATGAAAATCAGTGTAGCTCAATAAACAACTTGATGTTTAAAGCACTATTAGTGGAGAACACCTCAAAGGACTACCTTTCTTTAAATTGGAGACATGGGATTTGGGGGGCTTGGTAATATGTGGCATCCTGCATACAAACAGAGCATCTAATTGAAAATGAGGCAGAAAGGAAATTAAACATTAAACATTAAAAAGAAATAGAAGTTCTCACTTTGTACCGCAATTTGCAGTCTAGTAGCACAATATGTATTGTTGCATTGTGCATGGTTAAAGCTTTCACACAAATTAATATGATCATGGAGCATCCGAGCTTTTTTCCAGCATTGGGAATATGCTTACCCATTGTTCAATGAAACAGTGCTGTTTATTTTTCCAAAAGGATAGCTATTTGTGTGGGAGATGAAGCAGGATGAACCAAATTGTAGAAAAGAGAAACAGTGGCATCATATTTGTACGTGCTAAGTTTGGTGCATCGGTTGAGAAAGCAACATATCATAAGGCACTGATGATGGTGACAATACAAGGGCATTATTACTACTGCAATTGTATTCATGAATCCTTTCTTTGAACTGTTGTGTCCTTTCAAGCTTACTTTCAAATACCTATTATGCAAAAGTCTAGGCCTGACCCACATATAAGATATAATTGGAAAAATGGAGCAATTTGTTACCCATTGTTTCAGAGTATAATATCAACATGCATTTTAAAGAATCGTACTATATTTAGCAAGGTGTTAAGAGACATATCTACAATAAACAATATGAGGCTTTGACAACAAAAAGGACTTTCTAGTCACGAAGCACAATTCTTTTGTTTGTGATATTTAAATGCTCAATGCATTTCCTTCTTTTAGAGATGTAACATTTTTCAGATTCTAAAATAATGGAGGCCTAAATAGAGGAAGAAATCCATATTTCTTCTGCTCATTGTCCAAAAAAAGGTTTCTTTCTGTATTTTGTCTACACATGTAAACGATTAGCTATAGTTTTGATGAGGGCAAACTGCACCCATTTTATACATCAGTTTCATAGCTCATTCACGTTTAAGAATACATTAAAGAATCTACAATTATGAAATAAAGTCTTCTTTATTTCTATTTCTATTATCACATTTTTTCAATTCTGTTTGAGATTTGGAAATAGATATAATATAAACTTAACATCTGAAATTATTTAAATTTGGCTACATCAGATGTATATCAGAAGCATTAATGGTATTCATAAGGCAATTTTTGTATTAAAATAAATTGTTTAGCAGGATAACATCATAACAATCTTGCTAGCGTTTTTGTTGTTTATTAATTTATATCTTCAACTATGAAATAGTTCCATTTAAAAAGTTAAAAACAAGCAAGATAAATGCTTGAGGCTTAACTATAAACAAATTTAAGCAGGAGGAATGTCAGTGTTTTAGTGATATTTTCAATTTAAAACATAGGTTCATATCTATGTACAACTTCAGTTCAAAACCACCAAGTGTTTGTCCATCTAGAACTGATTATCAGACATTGAAACTGAACTAACAAATCTTGCTCATACCTGCTTGAGTGTAAGACTTCAAGGGTGCCCCATTTTAATAGAAGTTTGAAATTGTTTATGAAAACAGAAGGCTATCCATTGATAAGAATATGGTTGCAACGTACAGATAGTCCTTGACTTATGAACACAATTAAGCCCAATATTTTTGTTGCTAAGTGAGGTATTTCTTAAGTGAATTTTACAATGTTTCTTGCCACAGTTGTTAAGTGGTTGTTACGTTAGTATCCCAATTGTTAAGTGAATCAGGCATCCTCATTGACTTTGCTAGTCAGAAGATCACAAAAGGTGACCACATGACACTGGAACACTTCAACCGTTATAAATATATGCCAGTTGCCAAAGTGTCTGAATTTTGTTCATGTGACCATGGGGATGTTGCAAATGTTGGAAGTGTGAAAAATAATAAAAAATCACTTTTTAAAGTGCCATTGTAACTTCAAACGGTCACGAAATGAATTATTGTAAGTCGTGGACTGCCTGTAGTCACTTAAGTCCTACATTATGGTTTAACTGTTAATTGCAGAAATTTTATTCTGATTTATTTATGGCATTTATCAGGTGAAGATTGAGCATTCGTATTATTTTAAGTGGCTAAAAGTGTGTGTGTGTGTGTGTGCACACACATGTTTGAAATTAATTTTTTATACAAATTGTAATTGTCTTAAGTTATTATTATTCCAATAAGAAGACTAAGCTGAGTGGGTTGATTTGGTTTTCCTGAAGCCTATTTCTTAATATTTTCTCAACTAGGACACACAATGAAGCTAATTAGTCTGAGTAATATTAACTGCCTGGAAAAATAGGAAGAAGCTGGAAGGAATAGATAACGGGGGAGGGGGTGTTTCAAGATTATGGCTGCTAGCACATTTTTTTGGAAAAACTGCAATAAGTAGCAACATATAGCACTACATGTTAGAAACAAAAATTAAGATTTTGAGGAGAAATGCTGTCTTAGAACTGATTTGTTAGGCAGTCTGTTGTTTCTTTGACTCTTACCTTAACCTTACTAGGTGAACTTTCAAACCTTTGTTATTTTCCCATTTTTCCTTACACATTCATATATAAAGAGAAATGACCCCAAGTTTACAGATATGTTAGTTATCTTCTGCCACGATGGATTAAAAAGGCACAAAAATATATTTGTTATCCTCTTCTATATTAATAAGGAGCAGTTAAAAAATAAAACATACATTTCCATTTATATGATTCTTGACACAATTACTTTTTGAAATTCCAAGGATAAGAGTGTGGTTACCAGTTACAAACTGACAATATAAAACTTTACACAAACGGTAAGAAAACAGTTCTTGAGATTGAAAATTGCAGACATGCTGTGAGTATGTTACTACAAGGAAAGTGATATATATGAAAAG